AGTCTTAAAAATACACTTTAATGTTGGCTCTGTTTATACTCCACTTGATAATTTGATTTTGAATCTAAATATGCATTTCTCCCAGCATATCAACAAAAATCAACCTTACCTAGAAATCTACATATAGTGTCAAAACAGCATTTGGAAATATCCTTTATAAAAACGATCCTTAATTTTTTAAAGAAACATATGACAGATGTTTGTTATGCCTTAGAAAGTTCAGTGAGGCCGGAAGTATAGGCACACTATCTCCATTTTACAGACCAGACGCTGAGGAGTTATGAGGTTAAGGATAGAGAAATATCATCAAACAATGTTTATAAAGCTCCTACATAGAGAGCCACTCTCTGGAGTGTAAAAAAAAAAAAAGGTATTAGTGATAACTCCAGGAAGACCTGCATGATGGTACAAAAAGAAAAGAAACAACTGCATTAGGCCAAGGTCTTCCTTCCCAAGGCTCTGTCCTAGAGAAAGTCCTCTGGCTGGCATCCAGAGATACTCACATGCTCGGAAAGCCATGCAGAATGGGTCTCGAATCTGAGTACATTCTACCCAGAATAAAACAAAACACTTTTTGTGTAGTCACTTAAAACAGTGTGTCTTTAAAAATAGGCATCACACTTGTTCTTATAGAGCTGCATTATTTAGCTAAATATACATGAAACAACTGACACTAAAATCCAAAAGATACATACAGCAGATTGCAGTGAAAACCTACGGTTGTATTTAGTTACCTACATAGTTTAATTTGGTTTTGCAACCAAAGCCAACAGTATTCAGGGTTGGATAATTGTGCTTTCTCGTTCCTAAAAAATGTCAACACCAAAGTATGTTCTGGAAAATGCTTTTTCTTTAAATATTTCTTCTTTATTTTTTCCTATATATTTCTTTATATGGAGAATGTTCACAGAAATTTTTTTTTAAATATATTTTATTGATTTTTTACAGAGAGGAAGGGAGAGAGATAGAGAGTCAGAAACATCGATGAGAGAGAAACATCGATCAGCCGCCTCCTGCACATCCCCCACCGGGGATGTGCCCGCAACCCAGGTACATGCCCTTGACCGGAATCGAACCTGGGACCTTTCAGTCCGCAGGCCGACGCTCTATCCACTGAGCCAAACCGGTTTCGGCAACACAGAAATTTTTTAATGTGCTGTATTTATAGTTCTCATTTCTAAGTTTAAAACACATCATAGTGCATCTTAAAATGTCTCTAGCCAATGTGGTATAAATCTGGGTTATAAAACAATAAATAAATAATAGCCGACATTTAGGACCCAGTATGTGACAGCCACACACATATTCGCTCATTTAATCATCAGACTGTCACAGAAATTAACTAAGTTCCATTATTATCCAAATCTTAGAGACGAGTAATCCGAATCTCAGAGAGGTTCAAGGGCCTGCCCTGCAGCACACAGCCCTTAAGGGTCAGAGCTGGAATTCAACACCAGGCTGGCTCCAAAGTCCACGCTCTTAAATTAAAATTTACCAATAAAGATAAGAGGGAGAGAGGCAGAAGGAAGGAGAGAGGAAGAAAGGGAATGAAAGTTAAAAAACTGAGCCCCCCCCCCAAAAAAGGGGGAGCTAAGTTTGCCTTTATAATGCAATGGGAAAATTTAAAGAAATGCTTTTGAGGAATAGAAGTCCTTTTGACAACAGGAACAGGTTTTTGTGTTGTTCTTTTTTTTTGGAAGGAAGGAGGAGAGAGGGGGTTTGATGCCAACTGAACTTCACGCTGACCTTGGTGGAGGAGACATGACTGCAGATTCAGTCCATCTGTGCCAGCTCTCAAGGCCTCCCTTCCAGGGATGTACCCATCTGCCCCAGCATCCCGAACCTTTCAAACACTGCTCCTCCCTGCTTAGACTTAAGAAGATGTCAGGGGATAAGACACCCGAAACCTAAAATACAGGTGTAGTGATGCATGGTCACTTGGCAAGGCTGAGTGTGCTCAGCTCTGTGCCAAGGAATGGAGCCTGCCTCTTGCCAGCAGCCCAGACACTCAGCAAACAGACGACATGGCAGAAGCAGGGCACAGAAGCAGAAGGGATCTGTCCAGCAGAGGAGAAACCGTCCAGACATCCATGGGAATAATACAGAAGATAGGGAGAAGAGCCGATCACTGATGGTGGCACAGGATGGTTGTAACTCAGCAGTGATGTGGACCATGTTATCTGGGAACAGAAATATCACGTAATGAGACATAACTCAGTGGAGACTCAGAGGTGTAGCCCACAAAAATAAGCAGAGATGCATCATTATTTTCTGGACTTAGGCAGAGCTAGACATGAAGGCCATCAGCAACCTCAGCATCGATGCCCGAGAGTTTTGTGGTTTAAAGGAGCTGAGGGTTTGTTCTATTTTCTTTTCTTTCTTTTATTTTTCTTCTTTGTTATATTGGGCTCCTTTGGGTAACTCCTCTGGTGTGTTGAGAGTAGAAACAGAGCCCTGGCTGGTTTAGCTCAGTGGATAGAGCATCAGCCTGTGGACTGAAGGGTCCTGGATTCGATTCCAGTCAAGGGTACATGCCTGGGTTGTGAGCCCATCCTCAGTGGGGCGCGTGCAGGAGGCAGCCGATCAATGATTCTCTCTCATTATTGATGTTTCTAGCTCTCCCTCTCCCTTCCTCTCTGAAATCAATCTTTCTCTCTCTCTCTCTCTCTCTCTCTCTCTCTCTCTCTCTTCCTTCTTCTCTGAAATCAATACAAATATATATTTTTAAGATAAAAAAAGGAAAGAAAACAAACAGACTCATTGAGCTGTATGGCCCTATTTGGTACCTTTTACACCTACCTTAGTGCATCTGTTTTCAAATAAAGCTTGTAAAATAAAGCTTCCCAATAAATTATGACCTTGAACTTCTAGATAGAGTTATGTTGTTTTTCATTGTGATAAGTGGGTCGAAATGTTGAATATAGTACTAATAATTAATCTAGTCAGCATTTAGAGAAGGTTTACTATGTGGCTTTCAGCCATGACCTAAGTGCATATACATTAATCTTCACAACAATCCTGAGGGAAGTGCTGCTGCCCCCACTTCACAGAATGACTTAAAGAGATTGCAAGACCAGGAAGAGGCAGAGCCAGGACTCCACCCCAGGTTTGTATGGCTCCAAAGCCAATGCTCATAAAAGATGTGGCCTTAAGAAGTGTCATCAGGAATATTTAAATACGTACACTTCGTCCAGCAGTCCTGAGGCCTGCCCTCAGCACATCCACGATGAGATTGACACACCGGACAGCGTGGAACAATCGGGAGTAGAGGACAGTGTGACAATAGAAATGGTACAGGAGCATTGGATGAATTTGAGAAGAGTTAGGTTTGGGGCCTGACTCTGCTTCTACTTCTCAGTTCCATTGGGCATGTTTGAAGCCCTCTTGGTCTCAGCTCCTGAATCTCTACAAAATAGTCATTCGGAGCCCTGCCCTATCAGCCCCCCTATTGGATAACTAATGAAAATATGAAGCACTCCAGAAATGCACTTTTTAAAAACCTCTCTCTATGAGATACTCTTACATTGTAACTTTGGTTTACACAGCGTTGGCCACTGACATGGAGGTCGGTGTCTTCCCTTTATCGCGCCCTACCGTCACACAGCAGCAACATACAGTAGGTGCTGCCATAGAAACTTCTCTAAATGCTAAACATTGTGCAAGATGAGCCGGAGCAAAATGACCGTGAATGCATGAAAGCCCAGATCCGGGGCAAAGACAGAAAAGGAATCGGTGATTCCAGCAGTGCTCTGTGTCACTTACAAAGGGCAGAAAGGGATGGGAATGCCCCTATTTTCTTCATGCCTGTTGTTGAGATTGGCATGTGGTGCATGAAGGAAAACCAAATCCTACCGGCCTCTGGCTGCGTCACTATACAGCATGTGAATATTGCATATATCTTGGAGGTATTCAAAAATGCCTTCAACCTATTAAAATTCCACTTTTGTCTCCAGTTTCAAAATGATGCTTTCTTCCCAGAAAGCTACAAAGTCAGAACTCTTACTAGGTCTTGTGGCTCCATATCTTTTTTTTAAGATGAAAAGGGAGAAGTGCCTAACATCTAAAACTAATTTTTAAGTGTTTTATTTTTGTGGCTCCATATCCTTTGAAATTACATTTAAAATTGGTTTCAAAATCTACTTTTAGTTCCAGATTCATACCAATGTAATTTGAATTTTCAAGGATGCAACGCTTTGAATTAGATACTCCTGAGAATTTGATAAAGCCATAGCTCTTCTCCCCCGATAAAGGCCACACACACACACACACACACACACACACACACACACACACACAGCCCTGACTGTACAGGAGGTTGTAGATGCTCTGAAGCCCATCCATGGGCCCTTCAAAGTTTATAGACCCCACGATAAGAACCCACAGAGCTCAATATCATGCTTGGTCAAGGGTGAAGTGGGGACTGAACTCCATCCTCTGTACCATTCACTAAGCCTGCGGTTCTCAACCTGTGGGTCGCGACCCCTTTGGGGGTCGAACAACCCTTTCACAGGGGTCGCCTAAGACCATCGGAAAACACATATATAATTACATACTGTTTTTGTGATTAATCACTATGCTTTAATTATGTTCAATTTGTAACAATGAAAATACAACCTGCATATCAGATATTTACATTACGATTCATAACAGTAGCAAAATTACAGTGATGAAGTAGCAACGAAAATAATTTTATGGTTGGGGGTCACCACAACATGAGGAACTGTATTAAAGGGTCGCGGTGTTAGGAAGGTTGAGAACCACTGGTCTAAAGATAACATCCAAAGCTAAAACCCTATGTTTTAAAACATCTGCATCCCTGATAGCAATAACTGCCATGAGAACCATTTAGAAAATGAAATAAATGATAGTTGCATATAATTTGTAAGATAGGAATTAGAAGGAAGAACTTTGGGAGAAAGAAAACGTAAAGTCCCCACACTCCTTGAGATGCTGAGGGAGAAGGCCCTGCCTGAAGCAGGCATGAATCCTTGTGGACTGACCTCAGGTTCCTTCTGCAGGCTTTTTGAAGAGCTGCTCTTTACAACTGAACTCTGTCTTGAGCTGAGACATCCTTCCTCTGAGGAAGGAAAAAAAAAGAAAGTCACATCAAACCACTGATTCCAGTTTTGAATTACAGAGGGCTATTGATTTTTCATTAAGGTCCCTGTGCTGCTCTCAAGAGGAGGGAGAGAGAGGAGAACATAATTCATTGATCAGAGCGCAGGGCCATGTTCCTTTATTGGCTTCCTGCCATGTCCCATTATTCCCGATTCTAAATGTATATTGAAGTCAGTTTATTTTCATCATTGCCTCCTGTCACCAGAAATGTCTCCCAGTAACTATTAGTTTAATCATCCCTTTCTCACAATGGTAATGAGTGATAATAGCCAACATGATCCTAGACTCATGGATATTATTCTTTGGATCACAGTGTTGCTCCTCCCAAGGCTCTAGTTAAGAATCTGTCAACACTTGAACAGTCTAAAAGACAGGAATAGTTTGAGGATTTAAAATACATATATTTAAATTTTAAAAAACTATCATTTTTATTTTAGTTTTACTTATTTTAAAAAAAAGCACACTTTACTAGAAGATCTATGATTTTTGATCTTTGAACCTTAGAGAGTTCGGGAATTGTATATCTATACCAAACCAATGGAATCCAACCTTGTGAACCACCAAGCACATGCAGAATAAACCAGGCATTCCACTTTGCCCCCCATTTCCCTTTGCGGAAACAATCTTTAATCTGTACTGTCTTAACTCACACTTGAAACTCTGTTTTCCACAGTAGCAAACTGAGGTCCAGAAAAACTGAACTACTCAGGATCACACGATAAAGTGGCACAGTGGAGACGAGAACCACGTTCTCTGGCTTCCAGATCGCTATTTGTTCCACTACACCCATGGTCGGCAAACTGCAGCTCGCGAGCCACATGCGGCTCTTTGGCCCCTTGAGTGTGGCTCTTCCTAAGCCTTAGGAGTACCCTAATTAAGTTAATAACAATGTACCTACCTATATTGTTTAAGTTTAAAAAATTTGGCTCTCAAAAGAAATTTCAACCATTGTACTGTTGATATTTGGCTCTGTTGACTAATGAGTTTGCCGACCACTGCGACTACACCATGACCTGTCCTCTCAACTCGTGTGAAATTTATAACCCATAAAAATCAGAAGCTGATGTTGACTTTAAAATCAAATCCTAGAAATGTGGCTAATATTTTTCTTTTCTCGCATCTCCAGATAGAACTATATTTCCTAAATTCTGCCTCAGACCTAGGTTAAATAATCAGCTGCTAAGTTATATAATGCATCTACTTGCCTCCCAAGGGTTCCCAATCTCAACCCCTCCAGGTCATCTGCAAGGTGTTCATGGACATTAACATCTCTGAATGAATTTTCCCAACAGCATGTAAGGGAGAGGAGGAGTTCTCCCATTTTACAGGAGCTTTAGCCAAGGCTACCTGGGAAATAATGGACAGAGCCAGGTCTCAGACTCAGGTCTTCTCACTATGGAGGCTCCTTTCCACTGCACCACAGCTCCCTCTGGTGCCGACACTGGCAGTGGGAACTACTAAAAACAACTAGGAAAAGACTGTTTAAAGATGTACACCAGTATACTGAGCTGAAAAATATTATAGGAAACATGTCCTATTCAGAGTAGCAATCAAGAATATAAAATGCCTATGAATAAATGTGACAAAAATGTGTGGAACTTATATGATTAAAACTAGAGAACTTCACAGGAAATGTAAAATAAGATCTAACTAAATGAAGACACAAAATGCTTTGTCTGTTCTTCCCAGTGGAATATTTTAGGGGAAAGCATGATAAAAATTATTCTTAAAACCCTCTGGATGAACAGAGAACACAAACAAACACAAAAGGTATTTTGAAAAATAAAGACAATGTAGTGGGGCACTCACCCCATCAAACATCAAAATGTAGTTTAAAACATTAGTATTTAATACAAATTGAGAACCTGGGCAAAAATCAATAGACAGGTAAATGGAACTACCAGTAATCAGATGGCCACAAAAGATTGTAGCACATGAAGTAAAGAAACCATTAAATAATCGGAGAGAAAATCATTACATATTTGGGAAAAGTAAATTGGATATTCATTTTACAAAGTACACCAAAATGTATTTCACATGAATTAAAGAGCTAAATGATTTTTAAATGCTATTACACAGAGATAAATACTTAACTTTTGAAAGTATTTTATTGGTATAAAATCAGTGAAAAATCATGATGGAAAATAGATTTTACTACATTAAAGTGTAAAGTGTAAAATGTCAAACATCAAAAACTACAAAAATTAGAGATGCACACACACACACACAAAAATAAATAAATAATTTAGCCTCACCAGCATTTAAAAAACACCAATTAAAATAACATCATGATAACATTTTTATCTATTCAAATGGTAAAATTGTTTTAGATAATAACAATCAGGGTTCTAGTGGGACAGATACTAACATACTACTGATGGAAAAATAAATTGATAAACTTTCTGAAGAGAAATATACCATTATGTTTCTAGAGCCTTTAAAGTATATCAAAAACTTGTGGCCCAGAAATTATATTTGTAGAAATATAGTCCAAGGAAATGACCAGATATTCTTTTAAATAAGAATTTATGGGGAAATATCATTTATAAGAACCAACAAATGGGAAATAATCTAACCGAAAATAAAGAACAATTTTAATTGGGTAGAACCATATAATGAAGTAGCACACAGACATAATAATAAAGTAAGTTTTGAATAATATCTAATAATATGGATAAATGCTCATTCATGAAAAGAGAAAAACCACTGCAGTCCAAATTTGTAAAAACTGAAGTAGCAATGGGAATGAGGTAAAAAGATAAAATGGGAATACAATTTAAGATTTAGAACAATAAGATCAGACCCAATCACTAAAAGGGTGTGGAAATAGGGAGGGGCGGGGATTATTCCCAGGACTTTGGCTCAGGTATTGGAGGTGAGTGGAAGAAACCATTGCCAAACGAAATATTACACATGACCAGGTCATTTCATTGACCTGGCTCTCTCAAATAGAAACATAAGCATTCTGCTTTATACCCAATTATTTTAATGCCATTGGGTTTTAGCTACCACTAAAACAACAGGGGTGTTTTAAGCATTGGGAAAATTTCACTATATCTTGCCTCTTTCTGACATTACAGACCTCACACAGTCTACTAGCATTGAAATTATGTTCAAAAGTGTCAAACTGCAGTTCCTTGGAGGTCAGATGGCTGGAAGATACCAATGTTATTGCTTGCTGTGTTGACAGTTTAAGTGGGTGATTCTAAAAAGTTAAAAAATAGTGCAGAGTGTCCAAAAGATGATCTTGAAAAAACATCAATAAACTACTAACCCTCTACAATACACAGAGCACTCAACCAGATGGAAAGAGGAGTGCAACTATGTGAGGAAGAGCGCTTACTAGTATATTTCAACAGCCTTTGCCGCTAAAGATCTTGAGAATATGAGGAATAGCTTGAAAAACAGATATACTTTTTCATAATCTCCATAATTATTTTATTAAGCGAAGTAGGTATTTATATTAATAAGAACTTAAAGTAAGACTTACCAGGGTTAGTACTCAGACTGGATAATCAATATGCATGTAATTAAAATTGGCTGTAGAGAGTATGTGGCAGTTTGTATGTAACATCATGCTCAAAAAAATTCCTCCAGACTTCTCTGTCACAAATGTATTCCAACTGAGCACAATTGCATAAATTTTACACTTATGACTCAGTGATAATATATACTCCCCCCTCCACAAAAACTACTTTGGTAGGTCAAATAATGGTTTCTCTCTGTATATTATATGATGTTTGGTTGCATGAAGGTTAAAAAATATTCCATGAAAAAGTAGGATTTAGATAGTCCTATAGTGTCCCTTTCTTAAAGCCTCCCTAAAGAAGGAAGAATAATAACTCAAATTCTGAGGCAATACGGCTAACTGAAATGAGAGAATGGGAGCCAGCCAACCTAACTTTCAATCCCCAATCTGTGTTTGTGGCAAGTTATTTAACTTCTTTGAGACTCAGTTCCATTTCTATAATTTGGAGGGGGAAATAACTTGTCAGAGTTGCTGTAAGGACTAGAGGTAATGTAAAGCATCCTCATTAAAGTACCAGTTTACTGTTTTATGTATTTCTGTATATTTTCCCAGATAATCCTCAAAACATCCCTTCTAGTCTTTTTCCCACTTTAAAAATTAGAAAACTAAAGCACAAAGAGGTTAAACAACTTGGCCAAGGGCACATACCTAGCAGAGGATCTGGGATTCAACCTGAGTAGTCTAGAGTCTAGGTGCTAAATCACTACACCAACCTACTTCAAAAGGGCATCTTGCCCAGTTGGTGTGGCTCAGTGGTTGAGTGTTCACCTGCAAACCAGAAGGTCCCAGTTAAATTCCCTGTCAGGGCATATGCTCGGGTTGCAGGCTCAATTCCCAGTTGGGAGCATGCAGGAGGCAGTCGAAAAATTATTCTCTCTCATCATTGATGTTTCTATCTCTCTCTCTCCCTCTCGCTTCCTCTCTAAAATCAATAAAAATACATATTTTTAAAAGGGCACCCTTTAAGTGGAAGCTGTTGGAAATAACAATAGGTGTTATTGCTGTTTGTTGTTTTTCTTCTGACTTGCACCAACAGTGCTGCTTATCTAAGGGCTCCTTACCGGTTCATATTCTCACAAGCAATGTTGTTTTATATTTATTTTCAACTCACATAGCACTAGAATATCATAAATACATGTGAATTGGTTAAAAATAACTCCTTAAATGGTTAAAAATCTTACAAATATAAATCCAGAAGCTATTGCACCTTACAGTTCAAGGTAAAAAAGAATGGCTGATGTAAATTGTGCTGGTACACCATCAACATAAACCATCAGGGCACTATATATTACCAGGCAACCTCCACACTCTACATATATCTTGATACAAGCAATACTTTTGACACCAATCACTTCCCAAGATAAAATACAGTCTGTAAGGGAGTAATTTCAACAGTACATAAGATGGCACCATCCTACAAAAGAAATAT